TTTAGGGATCTGGGATTATCACCTATATCTGTTTCATTTGTTCTCTTATATCTTGTAGAATGTTTGTATTGCATGTCTGCCTAGTCACTATCTTGCCGGAAGTCCTGAGGTTCAGAGTCCATTATTTTTTCATTCCATTTTTCCATGAACATTTTGAAGCCACCTTGTATTTCATTTTCAAATTTTCCAAGTGACTTTTCTATATATCTTCATTTCTTTGATGAGACTCTATTTTTACCTTGTTTTAAGTGTGTTTATAATTGCTCATTGAACCAGTTTTATGATGGATGTGTTAAAATCTTTGTCATAATGCTATCAACTCAGTGTTGCTATGTATTGAGTATCATTTTAATTAAATTTAAATTTTCTTGGATTTTAACATAAGTGATTTTTTTATTGAAATCTGGATTTTTGAATACTATGTTATGAAACTTTTGGTCTTATCTGAGAACTTTTTGTTTTTAATGATTTCTATTGATATGACTCCAGTGGGAAATAGGAGGTGGAACCCTATTACTGCCAGGTGAGAGTACAGTTCAGAGTTCCTACTCAGCCTTCATTGACACCTAAAATGGGAGGATCTCTGTTACTGCTCTGTAGGGGTGGGAGTTCTCACTTCCCATAGCCCTCCACTGATATCTCCCTGGCCGAGGGGTAGGAATGTCTCTGTACTGCTTGCCAGATGGCCTCCATTGGTAATGCAGTGGGGAAGACCTTGTTACTGCTGCATGATAGTGACAGTTGTGGCTTCCCACTGAGTGTCCTTTTTTACCACAGAGGGGTATTGTTACCACCATCTGGTAGGGATAAAAGTCTTAGCTCTCTACTCAGCTTTCTATGACACTACTTCATTGCATGATTGAGACACCTCTTTGCAGGTGGTATAAACAAGGATGATGAAACATTTTTTCTGTTTGGCAACAGCAGCATAATTATTATCTAATAAATGTTATTTTGTCTTTTTGGTATTCCGTTTCTTAGTCATTAGAGTTGGAGCTTTTTTTGTTTGTGCTTGTTTACATTTCTGGGTTGCTGACTTCTTCAGCTCTGTGTCTAGAATATATGAGGCAAAAACACAACCTGGTCAGTTCACTATGATATTCCTTGGATCATAAGACTCCCAGCTTGTCCACCTTTCAGAGTCTTAAATTTTTATCTATATGTAAATACATATAAATTATGGTCTACTAGTATGGCACTATAGGATAAACAATGGACTTGTAACCACAAAGTCAGTAATCCAAACTTACCAGTTGTTGTTCCTTGGAAACCCTATACAGGGTCACTATGAGTTGAAACTCATTCCATGGCACACAACAATAAATATATATTGTACATTATATAATGTATTTTGTTATTAAGTGTCATCAAATAATCTATAGTAAGTAACATCAGGGTAAATGGAGAAAAGATTGAAGGTTTCAAATGCTTAATTTTACTAGGAGCCATGATCAAGGCTCATGAAAGCAGCAATCAACAAGTTAGAAGACATCTTGCAGTGGAAAATCTGCAAAAGACCTCACTCATTAAAATGTTAAAAAGCCAAAATGTCCCTTTGAGGATTAAGATTCTCCTGAGTCAAGTCATGATATTTGCATTCACTTCATATGCATGTGAAAGCTGGATAATGAATAAGGAAGACTG